TCGTGTTTTCTGGGGCTCTGCTGTTTGGGTCGACTGGCCTGCCCGGCCGGTGTCTACTTACAGGCAGGAAACCATCAGCAGACAGTTCTTGCTGTCCTCTGTCAGGTTCTTGATCTAGAGGACTGGATGATAAGAGCAGTCATGTACGAAAGCAGAAGAACACTTGATCTGGAAAACGTGCAGATACGGAGGGGATGGCCGCACCAACTTCGCTCTTCCTGATATTCGGAGCAGGACCATATTGCACTCTGGTGAGCAAATCTCCATGCCCTGACTTTCTGTTAAGTGGGTCAACATGGATAGGACAGTGTGATTGATCTAGGCACATCCTGGCATCCTGGTATGATGTATGTAAGCAATTAGTGATCTGGACTTGGTTGCAGACTTGATCTTGTGCGAGAGCAGAGGCCATATTTTTTGTATCGACAGGACCCTCTCATCGCCTGGGAGAGTCGGGAGGAGCGTACGCCCACACACTGACGTCAGCAGAAATGGCAAGCCACCAGCACAGAGTTACAGTGTCGAAGGGAGGCTCGTTTTCAACGAGTGGCCAGCCTGACATACCCTATGACGGCACTGTTTTTGTTGCCGAGTCGCCCACAAGTATCTTCACAGATGCAACAGGGGCCGAGCAAGCACATGAAAACGAGCAGCCCACCCTCGTCCTGAATTGCATAATAGCTGTTTCGGGGCTCTTTCCAGCTCGGAATTAGCCAGCCGATTTCGGAGCCCAGGTACACATTGTCGTAGATCACTACGTTTTTGTTGGTTATCTTGGAGTGTATGTTTGGGTACGTCAAGCAAAAATCTGGTCGGTTGCTACTTACACAGTCAAGAAAGCGAATCCACGGCCCTTTCAAGTTTAATGATAAGTTAGCAAGACCGTGACAAAAGCGGAATTTATGGAGTTGCCGTTTTAACAGCCTCTCAGCCTGATGCATGTCACCCAGTGACCTTATGTTCGAGCACGAATTTCACAAACCTGCCCCCCCATGGGGCGTGGCCCGTATGGCCGAACCATGCGAGATCCTTGTGAGAGGCTACCGCATTGAGCTTAGGTTCGACGTACGTGGCTGCCCACGTGGCTGCCGTGTGGAATCCGTATGTGTAGGCCCCGCATCATGCATTGGATTCCAAGCCTTCGGCTAGGCTCCATCTGGTACTGTCATATAAGATGGACCGATATGCATATGATTCTATGTGGATGGACGCGTTGAATCCCATATGGAAGCGACGGCGGTTGCCATGTGGTTAATCCATCATAGGCGCCATATATGCCAATGGATCCATTTGGAATCCATACGGAGGCAGCAGTGGCACCAACGTCATTGAAAGTTTCGAGATTGCCGCGCTGGCATATGAAAAGGCAATCTGCTTGCATGACAATCTGCGTGCCACTAACATGCAATCTGGCAGTCATTGCATCTCGTGCACACCATGAGTGACCGGACAAGATCCATCATCGTTGCTGCTGAACTTATACGCCATGTAACTTTGTCTTCGGCAGACAAGAAAACGTGACAACTGTGCAGGCTACTAATTTTTCAGATAGGCCTCTATACTACAACGTATGTGATGAACACGGTGCAATACAGTAACAACCGTGTCTCGAGTGTACTACAACACGAATTTCTATTAAACAACGTTGACCGACGGAATTGTACAACTATTGGCAGCTAAAGCCCGTCAGGCTGTTGGTGACTAGTAATGGACGGCAGGGCGCGGCAGCGCTGCAATGCGCATTGCAGACTTCAACATGCTCAGATACAACACGGGACCTGCAACGGATGAAAAGGTTCTTGAGTTTCAAGCATCAATGAAGCGACAGCCTCGGGCAAGTCGGAAAATTGAGCAGGGTCCAGTGGTCGGGGCTGTATTTGATAGAAGCAAATGCAGCTTGAGTCGGCCTCCAACTTACAGACCTAAAAGAGTCCGCTTCTGAACAGCGACATCGAAGTTGCATCGCAAATCAGTGACAAGGGTCTTCAGTCGAAGAAGTCTCGATCAACCTAAGATGGGCTTCTCGAATTCAGCAACAGTTCTCAACTGGATTGCGTAACACCGTCAGACGACCCGACAACCTGCCAGGCTTGAAAAGCCGCACAGAATCAACGGACCCTCGAAGAATTTCTGGAAGAATCTACAAACTGTACCAGGGCATTGCTTTCGTTTCTTTGGGCTAAGACGCGGAGCCTCCTCAGTCTATCAACAGAAAGGGATGTCGTTGCAGCAGCTCCGTACCTTGACCTTGCAGCGGCGCAGTTCAGCGTGGCACCCTTAGGGACGCCCCTCTCCGTCTGCGCTCGTCCCAGCTTGTTGGCATTGACCCGCAGCTTGTTGGTTGCGGAAGAAGTCGACCCGGCGGACGGCTCTGCCAGACCTAAGGCCGGATGAGTACGAATTGGTACAAGGCGCTTGACTTGGGGGCCTTAAGAAGCCAAAACTTTAAATCTAAAGCTTTCCTGAGAATGAAAGACTCACAAACAAAAGAATTCGGTCTGAGACGTTTGAACGAGCGAGATTGGCACCAGATTCGAGAGATCTGATCAGACGTCATTGCCGACCGCCCTGCAAACACAGTCTTGGGGATGAGGACCCTTCGTGCGACCAGGGCAGCTTGAACGCCTTTAGCCTTGGCACAATCCAAAACATTGGCTCAAATCAAATGGAACCATAACGGACTTGATCCTCGAAAGGCACAACTCTTCAGCAAACATGAAGGGCTACCCAAACATTGAGACAGATCCAACGAGCGTTTTCCCGCATCACAGACTTGAGAATCCTGGGCAAAGATCCAACGCCCACAAGTAATAGATTTACTGTCACAAAGGAGAAACCGTCTCAGTACGGGCAATGTGAGAAAGCTGCATCGCACTTGGAATCACATCAATCAAAGCTTCAGCTTTGCACGGCCGTGCTCGACTGTCTTCTACGGTTGACGCGATTATGTTAGTCGGCTGCTTTTACCCTCCGCCGCACTGAACAACATCGACGTTTCAGGTGCACTCAGAAGAGCCAAGTAACTCATCTACGAAGAATCTTTCAAGGCTGCGCACTAGACGGAAAGTAGCGGCCCTCCGACTAACCTGACAAGTCGCCCTAGGAGTAGTGGAAGAGAATCCATTTCAGGTCGTAGGTGCCCTTCCTGTCGATTTTGGGGACGATGTGCACCGCTCGGAGGATGTCGGCGGTGTCCACCAGCTTGACCACGCTCTCCTGTCCCACCGCAGCTGCTTGCACTTGGTGACGTCACAACTGCCCAACTCCATGTAGTAGCGCACGAGCGCCACCTCGCTGCACGTCCGGGCCCTCGTCACCGTTTCCACGAGCCAGAAACTGAGGAACATCCGCACCCGGGCGTACAGGTCAACCGGCGATTGGTCCGGACCCTCCCCTTGCAGCACCACGTTGTCGAACCACGGGCGGTTGTGGAGATCCGTGGTTGCGCGCGCGTACATCGGCCAGCTGCCGAAGGGGTCGCTGTCGCCGACGGGCAGGCCGAGCGCTGTCTGTACAGTCACCTGATCACAAGGTTGTCGGAGAGAAGTCCAGGAAAGTGTTAATATAGGGCGAGAGTTATAAGCGCGAGCGAGTTGCGCAGTGCAACATGAAAGTTTGCCTTGTACAGTTTTCAGTGGGAAATTCAATCACTCTTTCCTGAAAGCTACGTCACAAAGAAACGGCAGAGTCTAGCCAATTGAACCTCTAATGGTACGAGCCAGAACTCTACCTCAATCTACTGAGAAAGGAAGCTTTACGGTGAAGTGCAGTCACAGTCAAGATTGTGACATCTTCCAGCAAACGCGGCGCCTTCAAAAACAGAGGCAGATTGAGTAGATATAATTCCCGGAAGTAACTTGTATATCCAATGGACAGAAACTTTAGAACACAATGCAGGCCCTGGCAGGAAGTAACTTGGGGAAATAGAACGCCTCACATCACTGAAGGACAAATCAAGTAACTCTGCGCAAATGTTGCATCTGAAACTCAGCCGGTAGAAGCAATCACAGACTAAGAATCCGAACAGGTTTCGGCCACACTCACCACGCCCTTCTCAATGTTGTCGTAGTCCTTCCCCAATTGCTTTCTCAGGACGGACGCCAAGCTCAGCACCTCGTTCTCTTGGTCGGCTAATAAGTGCGACGCGTACTTGGAAGCGATTGGCGGATGCTAGTTGGGATCTAGAGGCGACGCCACCTGCTCCAACCAGGCAAGCCGGACGTTGAGCTTGCCAGCGAACATATCGAAGGCAGCAAAGCTCTGGTGCACATTGTTGGCAGCATTGTCATCTGCAACATCACCTCCGGGTCATCATGGAAGTCTTTTGCAGCATTGTCAATTCTCTGGGGGCTAGCTTGCTAGATGAACTGCATTTTTCGGAGGAGCGGCTCTATCTCTTGGCAGATCAACCCTAGCAAGCTTGTCCGCTACATTGTCCACGTTAACCACTAGAAGCTGGATCTCCAGCGAGCTTTTGCTGCGCGGACGCCTTGCGCTTATGTTGGGTTAAGGATTCACCAGTGAGCTTGCCAGGGCACTTGCTGCTTCGGTGGGATCCCAGAGCTTGCCGGTTTGCAAAGCCTGGTGCTGCGCAGTCAGAATAGGAGAGGGTCATCTTGGGGCAGCTTCTGTGATGCTTAATTCAAATGGAACCAACCAAAAATAGTTCCGGTGCACCTCATGATGCTGCCATTTTCAACAAGCTGCCAAACAATTATGTGCCAAGTGAAGAGTTGTTCACACTGCTTCTTCTTCCATGACTCTGAGTCGGAGCATTGAGAACCGTACCTGCTAAGGCTGCTTGAATTGTTGGCGTCTCTCCTGCGTCTCTCTGCATTGCACGGTGAGATGCTGTGTCATTTGAAATGTTGCTCCATTCAGGACAAGTTTTCAGGCAGGTTCATGGACATGCACTTCATCCAATATATTCTCCAGATTCGAATTGTTGTTTGAAGGGAAACGGCAGAAACGGCGACCAAATCAGCGGGAAACATGGTTGAGAGCAACTTACAAAGCCGGTACTTCTGACGGCTGCTGTGTTCATAAGAGCTCAACATGTGCTGAAAATTCGAGAACTAATGCCAATGCCAGAACGGTTCTAAGGAGACTCACTTGCAGATCTATCAATTACGGTATGTATCTAACTTGGAGTTTAGAGCAGAAGCAGATTTTCCGCAGTGCTCAAGATTCTTCAGGTTGCTAACTTTTCAAAGATGGGTCATCCTCGTTCGCATTGTCAGCGTGGCTCCTCTCTAGCTGATCAGCTTTTGAGGCTTCCATGCCGCAACATTGGAAGCGCTCCTTCAGCAGAATAGGTCTGATGAGCAAATGAGGGGGGCGTTCCTTGTTTAGAAGCAGCAGTCAGCTCAAAACCTGGTCAGTAGTCTGCTTCTTTCTGTTTATGGTGTTGCATATTTTCTCCTTGAGCTGACAGGCGGTGCAGCATGTTACAGCATTGTAGCAAACCAACTTTCTCTCCAGCTCTGAAAATGGATCCACTATCTGCCAGCAAAAAGAAGGACGACTGCGCCCCATTCCAAAGCAGTTGTTCAAGGCTGCATATGCAGCCAAGCAACCGTTTGGCAAAAGTTGGCTAAGGGAACTGGCATTGGCAGACGTGCTGATATGCACTTGGATAGTGAATCTTTTGCTGCCAAGGACGATGCAGCAGGCGAAAGAGACAAGCATAGAGCTCCTTTCCAAGTACAGCCTCCCTTGCCGACGTCCGGGCGAGAGTCGTAGCTCTTGCGGAGCTTGTGGCAAGTAAGTCGTGACAAGCATCTCTCCTGCCCCCGTTTCGTCAAAAATCTCACTTCATAAGCTGACGCTGTGAGTTTGCAAAAGTGCTTGAAAGCCTTTCCCTGAGTCACAGTACTGTTCGGTTAGTTTATCTCTTTCGCTTTGTGATCAGTCACCTGGATACAGCAAACAACTCTGCCTACCCGCATTTTTAACAGCCGTCTCTTGTCGTTCGCTGAATGGATTAAATCTGCACGCCTCTAGACTCAACCGAAAGCTGCCATCCAAAAAGCGCTTGAGAGGGTTTTCATGACTATCAAGCACCTAAACCTGGCTACGTAAACGTCCGGCCCAATGAGCTTCTTGTCTGGTCACCTTGATGTAAGTATGTGATCAGACCAAATCCGTTCGTAGCTTCGAAGTGCCTTTCGGCTTACCTATCTCCTGGTCTAGCCCGTGCACGTGCCAACTTGATGTGTTCGATGGTCGTCGGCAACATGAATCTGGTGAAAGCTCTTGGCTTCTGCAGGCAAAACGTGGCTGCGTGGCGAAGGAAACTCCGACTCCGTGACCAACGACTACAAGGGTGACGTCATCTACAAGGCGGTTGCTGTTGCAATGAGCGGCAAGAACGCTTAACTCGCCGAGCCGCTCGGCGTCTGGACCGACATCCTGGCGTTCATCACCCGCGTGGTGAGTTTTCAAGCTTCGCTGAAAGATTAGCCGGAAAAGTAAAAGCAGTAGGGGACACGGCAGAGTGTGGACGGTTTAGGCCCTGATTTCAGACTCTTGATAGATGCTTTCCAGGAACGGGTAGGATTCGCCATTTATTAGATACACGCCGCTCAAGGCTGAACTGTTCTCCAACCCGATTGACAGTCTGCTTCCAGACCAGATTGCCGACCTTGCTGTCATGGCCGTACCTTTTTCCTACTTAAGAATTTGATTTGTCTCCGCTGAATTGGAACCGAGTTCAGAAAAGGTTTTTAAAGTCTCAAAACGTAGGTTGCGGCAAAGCCTGATCCACACCGCTGCTCAACTTCCGTGCATGTTTGGCCTTGTGATAGCTCGAAACTCTCTTGCAGACTTCGGCGTGGTCTGGGTCACTCCAGGCCCTACAGGTCTGCCAGCAACGTTCGACACCAACTTTTGAACGTACCCAATGTGCTTCAATGTTCTCTCTCAAGATCAATCTGGATATCCTTTTCAAGCTTTCCGTACGGTCCTTTTCCGCTCTCCGTCCAGGAATGTTGCATCAATAAAAAACAGAAGTCGACGTGCTCTCCCCACTTGTCCAGGTTTTACATTCTGAAATGAAACTCTGCCGAGCCTGCAAACTTGACCATACATTTATGCAGGTCGCCGATCGATGCTCAGTGGAAAACGAGATTACGATGTACATGTGCAACAGCAGACCGGCCATTATTGGCTCCGGTCTCTCTTTCTCTCAACGATTCTACGAGATTTTGCTCTTACCTGCCGGCTTGATGCTGACATCAAATCGCATCCTTTCAGGGCGACCTCGGGTTCTTGGACAAGACGCTCAGCAGTACGAACGCTCCATCAGGACCGCAACAAGATCGAAGACTCGGCCCGGTACATCTGGCAGCTGCATCTAGATGGCTACCTGCCGAACGACAAGTTTGAGGTCGTGCCCCGTGGAAGCCGGCCCCAGTCGGCAACGAGAAGCTGATCCAAACCTTCCGCTTCGAAGGGCCGGACGAGGACGTGTGCCGGGAGGTGGCGGAGGAGGACGGGGTCCTTCCTGGAGACGCTTAGGTACGTGCCTTTGAATTTGGAAAGAGATCTTTTGTGCAACCTGTGTAACGCTCTTTAGTCAGCTTCGGATGCCGCGCGCAGCTGGAGTGAAGGGTTTACAATACTGGGAAGTGATCGAAATCGTCCATGGTAAGTCACAACTACAGTTCCTGAGATCAGGTTGGAGCACGACTGTGTTTCATTCATTCGTTGAAGACCCTTCTTGCATGTACCACTGTTTTCCGCGATCGACCTCTTCTGAATAGGCAACTCGCTTCGAGTCGGATGTGCCGGTCGAGCGAAAAGCATTACTGGGTAGGGTGATTCACTGCTTCTCTTTTGGCTGATTCAAGTTTACAGCCGACTTTTGAATCCTACGGCTTTGGTTGACGGGAACGCTGAGTAAGTGTCACAGAAAAGCTTTTCTTGAATCACCTTCGCAAGCGAAGAGGAGGTGAGGAAAGTGCTCGGGTGAGCCGAGCCTGGGATCGCTTTCAACAATCCCCACCGTCCGACTGGCTTGAACCGCAACCGAGTGCGCGACTTCAACCAGTCGCAATTACAGGGCCGCAGAATTTGGCTTTGCTCTCCTCGTCGAAGCGGAAAGTGCTAATTCTGTCCGTTCGCTTCTCTGTTGCTTTTGCAGCTGAGCCTTGTCCGCGCCGGCAAGGAGCTGCCGAGCCGGAGTGACGTGACGTGACGCTGCTACTTAGAGCGCTGCTTTGCAGAGTTGACAACGATGCGTCCGAGATTGTTTCCGATCGGGGCACCCAATTGGAGGTGATCTCGAACTATTCACTGCATTCGAGGTGTACGTTTCAGCGGCTCGTTGATACTAGTTTGACAGGGCAGGTGCCAGGTACTGCACGGACGGATGTAGGTTTACTGGACAGCTTGTAGGTTGTTGCCTCTTTTGGCACTGAGAAATCCCGACGCTTCAAGTCTCAGAAGTGCGTGTCGATATAATTGTTTGACGGAGCGTTTGACGGAGCGTGGTCTGCAATATGTGGGCGGAACTCCTATGGGGCTCTGCATACGTGATTACCTAGTTGGTTGCAATGCATGACGTCAGCATGCTGCGCCGGCGAACCTGCAATAAGCCGCTAGTACTGAATCTTATAAGCTACCGTCGGTTCGCCGGGATGGCATCCGCATGGACTCGATCCCGCATGGATTGTGTATTGATTCCACTCAACATGGGTCCCTTGCGACATCGATCAATTCATGCGACATCAATGCATGAGCATGGATTTCCATACGGCTTCCATTTGGACTTAAGACTGCCCGTACCGTACCCAATACGGGTAAGTTCGATCTGTAGGGGCGATGTCTACTCCAAAATGCTCCATGATCAACGTTTGCCAGGTTTGTCTTCATCGATCGAACCTCTGGTACAACCAGCAAGCGCAGGGTGCTGTTATACGCTGTCAAAGGGACCGACTCGATAACCATGTCCTGTTCTCCATCATATTGCTGCCATGCAATCAGCATACGTACAAGCTGCTTAAGCTACAAGGTCAACAATCGCGGATCCAGAAGTACCATGTCAGGTGACCTGCGATCACTTATTCCTTGAAGACCCTAGAAACTCTGGGAAACCCATACCAGTACATGTACTACGCCTCTGATTTTATTCAATACAACACAAACCCATTTTCCGTGCCCTGGCGCTCCAGACTGACTGGCCAGGGGTTCGAACGAGAACCGTGCAGGTCTGTTGAGACTTCCAGAAGCCTTTCATCTCTTGATGCCACGGCCGCCAGCTTCGAGTACCGCGACTCCATCGTCAGCGATAGATTCAATATCAATCTGCAGAGGAGAACAAAGACGCAATTCGATCAGGGTCAACGAGCTCGCGACCGCTGAGTCTCAGAACCCTTGATCACACCAACCCACAGAGCGGTACTGACGTTGGACAGGTAATTTCACGAATTATACTGCCGAACCAGAGCTGAACTCAAAGCTGCACCAGTGGTGGTCATACCCTGATGTAACATCCGTTCAAGGAGTGTGCAATGAAAGGAGCCTGGCGATCGAGCTTCACTACATCTTGAGCGTCCACTAAAAATACGTCCCGGGTCACTTTCCAGCGGAGTCGTGGCTTACCTTTCCAAACCGGCTGAACGAACAGTCGAAGGTGCTGAGGTTCGTAGTCTGGTAGTCTTGGTCCAACCCCTCGATATACTCTCGATGGCCAAGGCAATCCAGCGTGCCCATTGCCAGACGTTCTTCGACTGCGCCGGGGCGGAACATGTGGCCCAAAAACTGCACAGCTCACAATACATAGGAAGGTTTGGCTGCGAACCAGGTTTCATAACCAGAATTTAACGTGGTTCTTTGACCAATAACCACGTTATAGCCATGCTGAAAACGTGGTTACCGCTCTAGTCTGGTCATTGGACATTCAACCAGCTTTGAACCAGCCCGTAAGCAACTATGTTTAACAGCCAATAAATCCTGAGATAAGCATTGTCATCGGTTCGTGTTCTTGCCTGACCCTGTCACGACGCCGGAACCAAAACGGACGAAGCGCTGGCAAAGCTTACAACGAATGATGCCAATCAGACAAGCGCGTATCAGCACATGCAGCATGGAAAGCAAACTTCTGCAGAGCTCATGAGTAGCTCATGAGTCACTGCGGATTCTCGAGTTGCTTCTCTTGACGTTCCTCGAGTGAGTTGTTGCCGGACGGCACTTTCTGTCTCCTCGTTACCTTCCCTGAGCTCTGATGAAACGTGTTTAGGCGTCACCGCCAGTCTCCACTCCTGTATCTTTCAACCCTCATCAACTTTGAAGCAGTAAGCAATTTGAAGTATGCGCAAGCAGATAGAAGAGCAGAGGATGACTTGGATCAGAGTGGAGGAAAAGGAACTTACCCCATGGACGTCGGTACTCGTTGACAAGCTCCTGAGGTTCACAGTGAGGAAACGGACGGGTGGCTCGACGATGAGCTCTGTCTCGTAATCCACCTTCACTTCGAGGTTTACCAGGTCGTCCACTGTGATGATCACTTTGCTGCCGTGTTGGTGGCTAGCTAAAGCAACAGATGCTAGGCCGTCATCGCTGGTCCACGGAGCCTGCAAGGATTCGAAAAATGTTAAAATAGATCGAAATTAATGATAGTTGCCCTGTGGATTCAGGTCTTAGGAACCTACTAGTCTTTGGAACCTACTAGTCTTTGGAACCCCATCCAAAGCATCGCAGATGTTCCTGATGGTCTGTCACAAACTTTAGTAGGAGCGCTCGAGCTGTACCCCTATTCAGCAATTGCAGTGTACAACCTGCGGAGCAAACTGATAGCCCCATTGTAGTTCTCAGATTTTCAGCATACTATCTGATCTTGCGTGGGAGTTCACACAAAACCGTCAGCTTTGCAACGATCTGATCATGAGCCATGAGTATCACAAAACCCGTCATTCTTAGCGTGGAATGAAGGACCAGGTACCATAGCAAGAAAGGCGTCCTGCTTACCTTTGCCAAATCAAGCACGTGTCCTTGGGAGCTCACGAGCAACGGCAGTGCGTCCTCAGCTCCTTTCTTGGTGTCAACTTGGACAATACTCAAAGCCTGCTGCTCTCCATACTGATCCAGGTACATGATCTCAAGGGCGTACATCCAGGTTCCCAGGAAGAATGGGTCCGGGTCTGGCTGTGCGCTGAGATCCTTGATAATCTTTGCTTCCGGACTGAGGCCGAACATGCGAACATTGAGCTGCAAATGAAGACGGTGACAGTATTAGAGCTGATGTGATGAGTACCAGGCTTCTTGAGATCTCCTGTCCATCTTGCTCTGTCAAAACGAAGCAGCAGTACAGTGAGCAGACAATGGACTTTCTATTGATGCACGGGTCCACCTGTCAGAAGCTGACAGCGCCTTCCAGTTGCAACATTGGTGGCAAGTCAGCAAAGCCGAATCACGTTGACCCTCACATAGCTTATACCTCACCTGTAGCCGGGAATCAGTGACCATGCAGTAGGACTGTCCTGCTTCACCATGGAAGTCAAATCCGAAATTGACGGTTGCGTTGATTGTGCGATCGAGGACGAGAAACTCAAAGTGCGGGTCTTTGGTTGCGCTTACGCCTGAAAAAGCAAGAAGCTGGCTATCAAACAAGGGAGAAGAAGGACTGTAAACGCAGCCAATTTTGGAGAGGCTAAATTTAGGATATGAGTAGATGGACACAAGCAGGATTAATTTGGAGAGGGCCATCAAAAGGTCGGTCTAAGTGCTGCTCGCTCCCTGCAACTTAAAGTCATACAGAGAGGATGTCCCGTGCGTACCCCACAATTTTCAAAGTAAGCACAATGCTGATCATTCATCAACAGAAGTAGAGTAGCGCAGAGTAGCGCTTGCCTGTCCCGGTCCCCACACCCGTCACAAATTTGTTCTTGTTGAACGAGTAGAACAAGCTTGAGGAGGCAGTGCATGCTGTCATGTCGTATAGGATGCACGTCCCCGCTACAGTGTCAATGGACCAATATCTGCAGAATGGGTCAAGGCTGCACCGCTGGCAGCATGCTTGGGTGCTTGTTACAGTAGCGATGCCGTACTTGAGAACAGAGCTGTGGAAGTACCCCTGCATGAGATGGCCAGTCAAGAGGTAAGATTTTGGCTAGCACCTTGACTGTGTGTGAACAGACACTTTGAGGAGGACCACATTGTCTACACCTTGTCAGCTATGCAGTTAACGACTCCAGGCTGTGCAACCACACAAGGAAAACCACACTGTTTGAAAACCTCCAAGCCTTCCATTAATAGCAGCACCCGACTTGTAACACCCTCCTTGACGTACTCTTAGCTACCATGAGTTTCTAGCTTCCAGAAAGCTTTCCTGAGAGTGAGTATGCCAGACAGGTTGTTACCACCCTAACTCTTCTTTGGGCAACCCATCAGGACAACCCACCAGCTTGCAGACCCACAATGTTGGAGGGCTAAGCACAACACCAGAAGACCCGCACATGGAATTTCTTTGCAAAGGCAATCCTTGAGGAGCAACCACATACCATCTGTGCAATCTCATCCGGACATAAGCCTCGTGTTCTAGACCTACTTTCCAGGACTACTTACGAAGAAAGTCCTCAGGCTCTCAGCTCAAGAAACCGTTTTTCACTGACACCTTCTCATGGTATGCTCTATACAAGACTGTCTCACCTGTATAGTATTGGTGACAGTGCTGTCGCAGCTTGCGACTGCCTGGGAGCTAAGCTCGTTGTAGATTGACGGAAACTCGTTGCAGATTGCAGCTGCTAACCCCACAGAGCTGAAGAGGAGTGCCATACGCCAGATTGACCATGCACTGGTTGCGTATGGTGTCCCCATTTCCAGGAAACGGGCCCCAGTGCCAGTTGAGCAATAGAAGCCCCCTGCTTGGCAGCTGCTAGGTGCTCTCCACAGCGTGGCTACTTTTTGTATTTAGCAGGTTGGCAGATCCAAAGGCTTTTTTAGGACTTTACAGCTTGCTGAGATTCAATACCAAGGTTAACTTCTAAGTATGCAAATGAAGAGATCCCAGCAGATTGCCTTCATTTAAACCTGGGTATGCCGAGATAAGAGGGCAGGAATCCTATTTTTCGGCTGCCTATCACATAGAGGCCTAGCTTCATCATCATTGAAAGTTCATGAGTTCTCCAGACACCGTGACAACGAGCCTTGCATTGTATTCTCCCAATCGACGCCGACATTAAAATCTCAAGGGGTGGTGGAAAGGTCGCTCAGGCTCTACCCTAGCTAGGTACGACCAAAGTCATTCACTGAAGCCCAGGGACGCCAACAACTCAGTTGCTTTTGCTTGCTTCGACCTTGCAATTATTGAGATTCGAGGACACTGATCAGGCCAAACTTTGCTGGGCGCCACAGAACATACAGAACACAGGAATCTCATGAATTGGCGAGGTATTACGGTAGCTGGGCGGGCGGGCCCTCCTTGGCCAAAGCCACGCGCGACCAACCATGCAGGGCCGTGCGGCGTTCTCAAAACTTACGCCCAGCTAGGTTGAGTAGGCGCGGCAGCTCGCCAAACTGTACCACTACTACTACCACTTTCTAGGTACTCGCCTGCGAACGTGATCTCCGCCGGTCGTCACACTGGACTGATGAATCTGGAACCACTGTAGCGCCGGGCATTGTAGATCACTGGTTACGTATACGTTCTGCCGTTGCCCTTCAACTTCAGCGACTCGGGCCGTATTAAAGCAGGACTGGCTCCCGACTGGCTCGACTTCCTCAGAGTTGATCAAAAGTGGGACTGTGGGAGCTCATTTGCACAAACCTTGGCTGTGACTGGACTGAAACAGTGGTTAGGTGGGGAATTCAAGACAGTTTGTAACCATTGCCATTGGTGCAGAGTCGAAAGTGGACACTGGAGACCAATGCTTGAAAGGTCGCTGTACTAGGTATATTTGTCAGATCTACGTACCGTACATCATACCGTATTAAAGTGGGTGCGAATATTTATTACCGTACATCTACCCAGATTTTCCGCGAGGAACAAGGCATAAAACGGGGTAGGTACCGGTACGGTATTTCTGTACCAATGTCTCTACGGGTACATCCAGTACGTACGTAGGCCCGGCAGCCTGGTGCAAACCTGGCCGGCCGGGAAGGCCCTCCGGCCGGTGCCGAAGGCACCCCGCCGGGGCCGCGGCTGCTCATGCAGCCAGCAGATCGAAAATGCATGCAAACACTTGCTGTGCCCAGCCCCCGTTAAAACTAAAAGCCGGCCGGCTTATAAACCGTAGCCGGCAATATTATCCGAGGGGCAACCGGCCGCTGACAAAACGCCATGGTAGGATTAAACCCGACAGAGTTTTGACTTTTCTTGTACCTATATTAGTGTCTCCAGTCGATCTGTCAGAGTAAATACTCTCACAGGGCGTCAATCTGTGCAGGCATTGGTTGATGGTCTGACATGTGTCAGAATGATCTGTTTTCTTGGATGCGGGACTCCGGTCCTCCTCGACCGGGCACCGGCATGGTACCGAGCCACTTCCCCGAGACCTCTCAACTTTCCCGGTGACACTGCCGAGTCACTGCCTTTACATTCAAGTCACAGTCACAGTCACAGTCACTGTCTAGGACCTAGTCGGTACCTATCAAAGTTGCAGTGTCAAGAGTCACAGTTTGAGTCACAATTGGTTTCCGGCAGGTTAGAAGCGCCACAGTTTACGGTCACAATTAAAACTTAATAATGTCCCAGTCACAGTCGCAGTCACAGTCTCAACCACAGTCACAGTGTCAATCATAAATTCAAAGTTACAGTCACAGTCACCGGATAGCGGTATTAGGTAGCTAAAACGATTCGAACCTGATTGACACTGGAAGCTTTGCCCGTCGTCCAGCTACCCGGCCGGCGATAACAAGTGCCCGGTTTGTGGTACCTACCGGCCAGCTTCTCATTTAAGGTCGCGGCACGGGAGGGTGATAACACTGAAGAAATTTCCGGAGACACTAATATAATAGTGTACTTTGTCCTACTTGCAGCACTGAGGGCTTCAGCCCCGATATTGATGCATCATGCAAGAGTGAAACCGTACGGTCAATGTACGGGTGGAAATTGGAAGTCCTGCCCTTGTACCCTACCCGGTACAACCTAAAGGTCGTACGATTTGCGTTAACCGCGTTTTCCGGTGACAGCCATGACCTCAGCCAATCAATCAATCAATCAATTTATTTTATAGTCCCGTATGAGCCATGGGTGGCTCATGAGACAAGGTCTGAATGTAGTCTCGAGTCCTAAACGCCTCTCTAACAAAGCTAGCAACCCTCTGTTGGTTCTCCTGACCTATAAAATGACGCAGACTAAATGCGGACTGGCCAACAAACAAATCCATGTACCGCTCTGTGCGTAAGAACCTATAAGCTGGGCACTCGAAAACGAAA